CCGCATGTGAAGCTCGACCTCGACCATCCGACCGGGCTCCTTGATGCTAGTCACGGCTGATGTCCCGGCAAGGATGAAAAATGCCTTTTTTTTGTCACCAATGGAATTTGGAATCGCTGAATTGTCACCTGGAGCCAAATTTATCGGGAATCGTTCCAATACGACTCTAATTTTATTAAACCACAAAACAAACAAATTTAATGCAATGCAGCACAACCATCAAACATTTTCGTTTGGGAGTTCATTTTCACTAAAGTATCACTTGTTGGCATCAAACACTGAATGATGGTTAAGACAAACCAGCTTAGAGGTTTGTGATGATGATTTTAGGGCGCATAGACATCGAAGGTCAAATCACGTAATATCGGCCTAGAGGTGTGTGGTTTGCTTTTCAGTTGGGGAGGGGCTGCCTCTCCTAACCAGAGATGTAGTGTCCTCTTTTATCCATCATTTGTATTTCTAATTTTTCATCACCATTTTTTAGGTTCTAGCCCCACAACTTATTCTGAGAAACTATGCCCCTCCTCAAATTCCAAAAAGAAAGTTCGTCAAATCTGGGGAAAGGACTGTTTTAAGTGGATTTCGGACGTAAGGCCAACATTTTTTCTCCTGCACCCCACCCCTGTCTTGTTACCTGTTCATTCGCGCCTTCTCAATTCCGGATCACACGCACGACGCTCCACAGTTGACGTCTGTATTTGAACTGCACCACCGGAGTCCAACGGAATCGCGTCAAGGTACACCGTGGCGCACAAGGCACGATAGCGATGTGGGGGAACTGGCTCCTAAATTGAGGACGCTATACATTTCACCTGGGACATCACATGACAGCCCCCCTCCCTCACCCCTACGTATTTTGCAAATATGCATCCTTTTGGCTGTTCATCTGCCGATAATCTGATTCTACAAGCACCTGAAAAATATCACTGCTGGTTTTGTGACACCATTGTACAATCAGTAGGAAGCGTTGGCGAGCTTTACTATCTTTGCATAATCACTGGTATCACTGGTACAGGCCTCTCACTTCCTAACGTGATCCCAGCCAACTAGTGCAAAACCCGCGCAAAACTGGTCTGAGCAGGTGCAAACGGAATTTTTTGATACCTCTGGCGCCTTCATTTAGCTCTAAATGATGACAATGAAAGCGTTTTATCTCACGCCTGTCTACCGCTCAGAACGCTAAGTCCGAGGTGCGACGGAGTGTGAGAGGTCTTCACCAGCGATGCTCGGCATTTTATCTCAAAGCCGTTCTTCCACGCAGCAGCAAGATTTCCTGAATGAATCCTTGATATGTGTCGTTCCAACGTCCTTCGTTGGCCTCTGAAGCCACCGTTCGGCTATCAGCAAACGACGAGCCTCATAGGTCGGCAGGACATTTTCACGCCGTTACCCGGTGACGCCCTCCATGGTGAACCTTAAAACCGCACAGCGCCTTAAAAAACTAACGATTGGCTACGTTCTTCAAGCTTCTCAGCTTCTTACACGAACACAACCAACGGCAGCCCACAGCCTCGCGCTGAACCCAAATCATTACTCTGTGGCGAACATTGAAGCCATGCGCGACGCTTTAAAACGCTGCCTGGCAGTCTGATCACGTCATCGCAAGGTGCTGCGGCCAGCCACCATTCTCACGACTAGTAATAAGCCTAGTTATCTGGTATATTGCCCTGTGTAGCATGTGAAGCGAATGTTGGCCGACAAAAAATCCGTGAAAGGACTGATCTGAGGGGCATTGGAAAAACACTGTGTCACCACTGACCCGTGACGTCAGCAGTGAAGTATAATTTTCTAGTATATGTCTGTCATCCACTTACAACTATCCTGATTAAAGCTTCTATCTTGTGGCTCAACTTGCTCATACAGCGAAACGTCAACGTTTCGACATGCGCTCTGCACAACCCCACGCTGCGAGCGTTAGCGAATGCAAACTAGTACTAAGTTTTGGGCTTCATCTAGCTAGGATGGTCTGCTGTAATATGGTCTGGTTGGTTGTATTGTTTCCATTGTCGCGATTGTCACCAGTCTACTCACAAAATTGTCCATTTTTGTTACCAGTGGTATCCGGTAAATGAGAAGATTTTTCACCCTTGTATTTTGGTCCCAGGCATTGGTTGGAAGTGATTTGTTGTGTTCCTGGACGTCAAGGCGCACGCATTGCCCCTTCCGGTCGTGGTACAGCATAACGCACATAACTATCGGTGACTATATGCGCTATACAACGTGGTCTCCTACTCCATGTGGTGTACGGTGCACACCTCATGGGAGACGGGCGCGCTCCGCAACTCCCTGCAGCACCAGCATCTTATGCCAACGCCGCCCGCCGCAGCCCGCGCGCCAGACGGCAGCAGCTGGCTCGGCCGGAGCCGTCGCCAGCGCGGCGTCAGCCCTCGCCGGCCGGAAGTGCAGGATAGCCGGCGTCGGCGGTGATGGTGGCCGACCCCACGGGCCATGCCACCGCAGCCGCCGGCGGGCCCGCGCCTCGCCGTAATCTCACGCAATCGCCGCTACGGGTTTATTGCTTCCGATGTTGACGGTTATCGACGTCCAGTCTGGGAAAGCGGACCTCGTGATTGCCTCGGGTTTTCCAGAGAGAGGCTTGGTGGCAGGAATCGATTCGTCTCGTTTGTTTGTTCTTGGAACGTGAGTGATGCAAGTCCACCAACTCTTATGAGCAATTGACCTCTCGTGCAGCCCTGTAATTAGTGATATCTCTCAGTTTTCCCGCATACGCGTCTGGAGTCCCGCTTCGATCACGGATATAGCAAGCAAACCGCAGGGGCCTGTGCTGCCTACTGCTCTAGCAACTTGACATGTTTGGCGGCCAGACACGTGCCCGACTTTCAATGATGGGTGACGGGTCCCGCAGGTACTCCCTCCACCCACCCATAACGAGATCCAGAACGAGTTTTCGGGGATCCATCTCGGGGATTCCGGCACACGTCTGCCAGTTGCTGATGGCGATGTCGGGGTTGGCAGTTTGGTTGCACGTATCTCCGGGACTAGGTGATGGAAGCACCTCATCACAACTTCCAACTGGCCGTGCTTCGGCGGTAATATGCCTGGTGAGCGAACCTGCACATCCTGGTAGACGGGATACATTATTGAATTTGAAATTGTAATCAATGACACCGCTCGAACCGCTTCGATAATGCTGCAAAATACTTCTGAAATGACCGGAGTAGTTTAGAAAGCCTCATGTGCTGACACAAACCGTCGTCAGCGGTACGCGGTCTGCTCTCACGCGGGAGTCTTAAGCGCATAGTGACGCACGCCCCAGGCACGAGAGAGCCTCGGCTGGTGGGTCCCCCCAGGCGCGAGAGAGCCGCGCCTGGTGGATCCCGCCCCAGGCGCGAGAGAGGCTTGGACTGTCGGCTCTCGGCGCTGTCAGCCCGCGCGTCCAGCGGCGAAAGGCGACCAATATGTGCAGGCCTGCGAACACCCCGGGGTCTGTCGTCCGCTCTGCAGCGAGCATCACGTGATCGCCGCGGGCCGAGTGCGTCACTCCGCTCGAGCGGTGGAACGCCGCGCCACTGTTGACTCAGCTGTTGTAGGGCAGCAGCCTTGGGTAGGAGCGAGGCTGGTCCGATACAGTGCTGTCAGCGGCCAGTGAAGGCGCCTGCTGCAGCGTGGTGATTGGTGAAAGCTGCGCGCTTCAGTGCTGTGTTCTGTGAAGCTGCCTATGCTGGCGTGGGGTAATTGAGGTGTCGTGGAGAAGGGGGGAGGGCTGTTCCCAATTTTATAAGCACTTAAAATTTGGCTTAAAGGTATTGACTGGAAATCAATAACCAAAAATGGCTGCCCCCCAGCTTGAGAGGACTTCCGTCGTCTCTGACTTCAAGTTGCACGCGTGGGATGTCTGGGATCAGAAGAGGGCTTGCAACTTGCTTGCTTGGGCGGCTTGCAACCGAGGCCGACGTGAGGCTTATCTCGTTTCAACTGTGACTGCTGGCTTTTCATGTCTAGGTCATGTAGCTTCTTGTATGTGTGGTGTTGTGTACGAAAGTACGTCTCGTCGGCGACGTTTTTTATTTTCCCCGCGGCGAATCAAACGTCTTTCCTTCCTCCTCTGTCCCTGGCGTTGTCCTATGCAACTTCTGTTCCTGGCGTTGGCTTACTCTCTGTCCCTGGAGTTGGCCTACGGACCCTCTGTCCCTGGCGTTGTGTCAGCCTACAGTCCCCCTGCCCCCAGCAGTGCCGGCCTTCGGTCTCTCCGTCCCCAGTGTCGGTCTTTGGTCCCTCCGTCCCTGCGTCGGCCTTCGGTCCCTCCGTCCCCAGCGTCGACCTTCGGTCCCTCCGTCCCCTGTGTCGGCCTTCGGTCCCTCCGTCCCTGCGTCGGCCTTCGGTCCCTCCGTCCCCAGCGTCGGCCTTCGGTCCCTCCGTCCGCAGCGTCGGCCTTCGGTCCCTCCATCCCCTGTGTCGGCCTTCGGTCTCTCCATCCCCAGTGTCGGCCTTCGGTCCCTCCGTCCTTGCGTCGACCTTCGGTCCCTCCGTCCCCTGTGTCGGCCTTCGGTCCCTCCGTCCCCTGTGTCGGCCTTCGGTCCCTCCGTCCCCTGTGTCGGCCTTCGGTCCCTCCGTCCCCTGTGTCGGCCTTCGGTCCCTCCGTCCCCTGTGTCGACCTTCGGTCCCTCCGTCCCCTGTGTCGGCCTTCGGTCCCTCCGTCCCCTGTGTCGGCCTTCGGTCCCTCCGTCCCCAGCGTCGGCCTTCGGTCCCTCCGTCCCCTGTGTCGGCCTTCGGTCCCTCCGTCCCCTGTGTCGACCTTCGGTCCGTCCGTCCCCTGTGTCGGCCTTCGGTCCCTCCGTCCCCAGCGTCGGCCTTCGGTCCCTCCATCCCTGTGTCGACCTTCGGTCCCTCCGTCCCCAGCGTCGGCCTTCGGTCCGTCCGTCCCCTGTGTCGACCTTCGGTCCCTCCGTCCCCTGTGTCGGCCTTCGGTCCCTCCGTCCCCTGTGTCAGCCTTCGGTCCCTCCGTCCCTGTGTCAGCTGACCGTCCCTCTTGTCGGCAGTGCGGTGCGCCAGTGTCGACAGCGGCTGGGCTTTCTTCGGCGGAGGCGCAGCGACAACAGCATTTCGGTGCGACCGGACCGGGCGCAGGCCCAGCAGTGGGCCACCTCCTTCCTCAACCTGATCAACTCCAAATGTGAGTACAGCGGGTGCGGAGTCGCAGCTGTCCGCACGCCCGTGTGCTTCGACCGGCACTCGACAACGTCCCACGCGTCTTCCGCGGCGGCGTGGCTCTCGCTGCGGGCACTGAACTCTTGCTCATCTCCGAGTGTGTACCGCACCCAGGCATTGGCTGCAGTGTGCCGGCCTGCCGCACGCAGGCCCGATACCTTAGCAGACTAGCCCGGTCGGATAACATGCTGGCGCGTAGAAAGTCGCGCTTGGCCTGGGCGCAGTAAACCTCAACCGGGTTTCGCAGACGCCGACATTCTTCTGTGAGGTCGGTCTCCCACCGTACCCTCGCCATGACCGGTACGCGTGGTCGCGCTCCCGCGTCACACACACCAGACCGGGATTCGCCTCAATCCAGGGGCAACGTGGACGGCGGAGTGTCGCTGTTTCCAGAGAACAGTGCACATGAATGGCCTTTGACCAGACGCATATGAACTCCAGCTCCTCCGCCGCACTTACGGCCCGGTACAACGGGTCCCAGTCTGCCTGCAACAAAGGCAGACTGGACGCGCCTCAGCAGATATCACGCCAGGGGCAAGCACGAAAAGAAACAGGATGTGAGTGCTGCCACCTGAACGGGGCACGAGGGATGGTGGCGAGATGGTCTGCAGTCGGCGCTGGCGGCACCAGACCGGTGTCCTCCAGTTTAGGCATGCTGGTAATGACGTGGTGCAGGAGAGTCGCTGTCGGCTCAAGATGGGTAGGTGTGTCAAAAACCGCACGAGACCCAGATCTTTTAAAAGAGACAAGTAGACACGCACAGCTGGATTGTCGGGACGCATGAAGTCAATGTTAAAATCACCGAAACAAATCACGCGTCTCCCAATGGCACCAGCCGCTCCTGGTTGGTCCTGTGCCTCGCCAAGGCCGCCTGATGTCGGATCGGACGGAGGACGACAGACAACGCCCACAGTGGCCGGGAGATGTCGGCCGCCACTCCGGCGCTGAGTGGCGGCCGACATCTCCCGCGGTGGCCGGGAGATGTCGGCCGCCACTCAGCGACACCCACAACGACTCGCATACTGCACTGGCACTGGAGATGGGTGACAACCCCCGCAGCGCCGGGTCGGGCGGTCCCTGCGCACCAGCCGGTAGCCGGGAAACACTAAGATCCTGACCGTGACTGGGTCAGTCAGCCACGTCTCGGTTATGCACGTGACGTCCAGGTCATGGGCGCGTACGGTCTGAAGCACACAGTCCATTCCCAGGACTGACGACCGGACATCTGCGTGGATGATCGACAGCGTGCCGGCTGGCCTGGCAGAACTGGTGCGGGAGGTGCGTGCTGACTGCAGGGTCTGCCCGATGGTCGGGCGGGCCAGCACCGAGAGCGTCCGGGGCCGAGGCGTGACACAGCGCGACGGCACCCAAGAAGCCGATGATGGCTCACGGGTGGCGGACAACGTGCGACAGTCAGCGTCCGCCGACTGTCGCACTGTCGCACTGTCGTCCGCCGTGTGGGAGTGTCGCAGCCGTTCTCGCCGTCCGGCTCTTCATCCCCCCGTTCGCGCGCGGCTCCAGTACGACAGAACCACTGGTGGCTCATCCGACCCAGCTGGCCACGACCTGAATCTGCCTATGGTCTGCCAGGCGGACCGCAGCTGTGACCCTCGCATCACGGCCCAGCGCCAGGTCAAGGCCACGTGGTCGCGATGGGATCCGGCAGAGTGCAGCAGCGTAGCTGCATCTGAACGCTGGCTGGTTGTAGACATCCTCACATCTCTTCCAGAATCGGTAGAACGGTAGAGCGAGCGGCTAGGCGTCACCCATCCCATGGAAGCTGACATTTGGACAGCACCAACAGCCGACACAAAGGCAGTTAAAAAACGGCTCTGCCGTCAGCTCTGTCGACCCTGAAGCCGAGTGCGAAAATCCAGTGCAACACATCACACTCCATTGTGTCTACAAATACAATGGAAAATGCGGCCGGTGGATAGTCAAGTACCAACGATGTGCGATGCCTGTGTGCAGTCTGTCAAAGGAAATGTTCCACATTTGAATGTATTGAGGCAAGCATCAGATATGATGAAATACGCTCAATGAAGGGGCTTATTATTGAGGGGAATCGAGCGGAAATGTATCAAGAAAAAAGCTGCTTGAGAGAGCCAAATTGCTCTATTAAGTAAACATGCTTTTTTATATGTAATTGTTTTATCGCGTCATGGAACGTTTGTATGCGGCACACACGTGTAGTTTTTCAATCTCCCGAGAAATGGCCGCGACGCTGTTGGATTTAAGTTGAACCAAATATCCTTAGCTGCTGGTGTTTTGGCACTTTCTCGCGATGTTCTTGCATATTTACCGGTGATGCTAAGGCGCTTTCCTGCATCCACATACTCGGTTATAAGGCTATTCCCAAGTTATTTCATAACAAGTCTTATTCTCGTAATAACTGGGCAGAATTTATCACTTCTTGTATTATAAAACACAAAACGTAATGCGTGTCAGGATTTTGCATAGCTTGTGCAACATTGTTTGGGAGCCAATCGAGGGCCGTTATGTCTGCAAATCGTGCTCACGAACGCCAGCTGTGAACGACTTGACACTTACGTTTATCTTAACCTTGGATGCCACATGGCCGTGGCATGACAGGATTTGAATAATGTTATTATGGCGTCATGGATGCCAAGGAAACCTTGAAATAGTCTGAACGAAATAGTCTGAACATCTTCGCGGGCGTGTAGCTCAGAAACCAGTATTTTAGGTCTGAAGAGGGGCAGGGCTGTGAACTGCACCGAATGATCTTCAGGATGGTTTGTCAGCTCAAAAGCCCATCCAAATGTGGAACACTCCCTGTAAGCTACACAGGTCGATTTTTGTGTTGCTTAATGTGCACACCTGTTGCAGATGGAGTGGCGTTGTTCAAAGGATTCCTGTCACAAGAGTTTGCTGATGAAAATCTGGAATTCTGGCTTGCCGTTGAGGATTTCAAGAAAACGCGACACTGCAAGTTACCAGCCAGGGCTCAACAAATCTATAATGAGTTCCTGGCTGCACAGGCTCCGAAAGAGGTGAATGTCTGATTACTCAGGTTCTGTGAGAGGTGAGTGTCTGGCTGCACAGAAGTCGGGGGAGGTGGGTGTCTGGCTGCACAGGCACTGGGGGAGGTGGGTATCTGGATGTACAGGCGCCGGGAGAGGTGAGTGTCTGGCGGTACAGGCGCCGGGAAGAGGTGAGTGTCTGGCGGTACAGGCGCCGGGAGAGGTGAGTGTCTCGCTGCACAGGCTCGGAGAGGTGATTGTCTGGCTACTCCGGCCCTGAGAGAGGTGAATGCTTGGCTGCTCAGGCTTTGAGAGAGGCGATCGTTATCGGGCGCTATACTGGTTGTAGCAGTGGAGCGTGCCAGCACTGGTTCCAGACTGGTCGTAAACGGATCTCGTATCCGCAAATTGGCTTTGCGGTACTTGTCTGCTCGTCGGTTCATTTAAGTTTAAAACATTGCATTCAGATGAAAGGTCTCCTTAAATATAGCACGAAACGTCTTAAAGTAATTACTTATGGAAAGTTGCAACAGGTAGGTGAAGCTGCAACAAGATGGATGAGTGAGATTCCAGCGAAATGCTTTGATTCGTTTAGGGATATGCCCATTGCTGTGTATTTGGGTCGCAATCGGTGTCCGAGTTTCTCCTGTGTGCCCGTTGTTGCCAGTCATAAGTGTCGGCCGATGCCGTCCTACTGCGGTATCTCGGGATGGCGCAGACGTGTGAAATTAAGTACGCACACTCCCGCTGGTTCACGGCTCGGAAGTGCGGACCTAACTGACGTCTGTTCCTTCCCCTCAGATCAACATCGACTCGTCCACACGGGCGGTGATCGGTAAGCGGCTGTCGGACCCGGATGTGCAAATGTTCGACGCGGCTCAGCGGCGTGTGCAGCACCTGATGGAGAGCGACATCTTCCCACGCTTCCTCCAGTCAGAGATGTATCAGGAGCTGTTACGCGACGAGCACTCGAAAGCCCGGGCGCGCAGGTAGCCCGGCCGGCCGGCCGACGCCACTTCAGGCTGTGAGGGGAGGCTTGTGCGCCGGGTCGCTGCAGGGCGTGCGCTATCTCTCCGGACGGGGAGCACATATCACAGGAGAGGCCTGACGGTTCTCGACGCGTCGGCGGCGGCGCTTCGACTGGGCGGCTGCGGCGGCGCCTTCGACCCAGTTCAGAACAGACCACGCTGGGATCTGCGGCTCGCGGAGGGAGTCCATGGCGCCACCTGCACCGTCCCGGCTCACTCGGTTCGCGCCCGCTTTGGCCAACGGCTCCCCTGAGTCCAACATCAGTGCGCGTCGTTCAGCGAACTCCTGTTTGGAGCGAGCCGAGCGCCGCGAGCCGTTGTGTCGCTTTGGTCAACACCTGCCGCCGGCCGACCGAGACAGGCGCTGCTGGTGCGTACAAGAAACCAGAGGCTTTCGGAAGTTGTCTGGCGTCATATACTTCTACGAGTGTCGCTACCAACTGAGCGTTTTCATTCGATCAAAGATTAGAGTACGAAGTAGCATTGTTGCCGGTCATTTTTTGCTGTGGTAGAGATAGAAGGACCATATGACAACCGCAGACGGAACTCATTAATTTAGCTCAGATGCTGTGGGCTGACGTTACGGCTGGAATGACATCCTCTGTTTTTGATGTGGGTGGGCAGGGCTGGCTCCGACAGTCGGTCATGTGGATCTGATCGACTGTTAGGAAGGTTCAGTGTCAGTGGCTAGCATGTCACACAGAAACTGTGGAGTGCGTTCAGCGTGTTGACTTCGATGCCTGTTGGTGGTTGGTGAGATACCCAGTGCATGCCCGTTAGATGAGCCAGTGGTTTGAGGTTTGAGAAGCCGGGGTCTGATGCACTGCTCGCGTCCGTCTCGGGAGCCAGTGGGATGTGTTCGTTCATGTCTGCATGCAGGGTCAGCGATCTCGTGCACTGTTACCGCCTGGATGCAGTCAGGGAGCTGGAGCACGGTTTCTACTTGCTTAGAGAGTCAGTGATCCAGCGTCCAATTTCCAGCTGTTTGGAGAGCCAGTAATGTGGCACAGAACGCCCACTTGCATGGCGAGGGACCGACGTAGCGCATCATTTCCACCCCTGTGGAGAGTCCGGTGCCACCTGTTTTGGGCGTGAGCGGTCCGACGCACATTGCCCGCCCGTGTGGAGGTCAGGGATCGGATAGCCGGAGGACGCTGGTCGCTGCACCGGGGGGGGGGGGGGGGGGCTCGGACATGACCGGGTGTCCGACGTGTCCACACGTCCCATGAGGCCGTCGTTGATTGGGTCGGTACGTCTGTGGTGGCTGCTCCAGGCTGGCGGCCCCGGGCTGTGCCAGAGTGCGCCGATGTTTGTCTGGTGGGTAGCTGATCTGATATTACCTAGACTTAATACATGCAGAAGCTCGTGTGAACTCGGTTGCAAAGCAGAACCGCTCAAACGTCGCGGGCGCTGAGGTCCATAACACGACGCGTCTACCCAGCTGCACTGTCCGCCGCAGCCGGCCCGCGGTGCTGCCACAACACACACAGTGACGTCCCCCACTGGCTCACGCCGCGCCGTGTGAGCGTCAGCGGGCGGCACTTCGGGTATTCAGTGGCCCCAGCTGCCGAATCCCGCCTGCCCTAAACAGAGCACGGTTTTACTGTAGGACCCAACGCCCCTGTGGCGACGTCAGATGGTGTTAGGCCGAGCCGCCAGGCGCCGCCACGGGCCGCACGGGAAGCTCCAGAACAAAAGATCGTAAGGAAAAGAACGTGTGCATGTAGTGCGCACGCGATTGTTCGTGAGCACGGGCACGTAATGGATAACATACGTATGACGAAGGTAGGCAATTAAAAAATCATAGGCAAAGGTGTGCACCCACAACTTCGTAGGCAAGGCATGGACTGTAAGCATGGATCGTTTAGGGCTAAATTTTCTGAACAGTTCTCTTATGGGAGTGTAGCAGGGCAGATCGACCACAAGGGTACCAAATTCTGCATCATCATTTCGTAAATTTCCCTGAAATACGGTCTTCGCGGGATGATCCAACTCGTAGGTTTCGACTGTGGAATCATTAGCTTATTCTGGCGCATAACAAAAAACTATACCGTTGGACGATGTTTGGTCAGTGCAAAGAAGGTCCTGACCATGTGTGTACAGCAGGGATGGTACAGCGGTGGCATCTTTCTCTTTGGCCTTCAAGTTAGTTGGCTACTTCAGAAAAGCGACTATATGCTGGGTGGCACGCGCGTGTCCACCAGTCATATTTCACAAGCCAGGTAGGTGACTGGCCAAGGCCGTCATCTTGTATCAGTGGCGGGCTCATAACGCATTAAGCGGGAGTCGTCGACAGACTCGTCGTCAAGGAGGGAAAAAGAAGGGAACACAACAAAGAACGCAGCAGATCTTAATCACCGGTACCATGCAGAAGGACGCCGACCGGCTTGGCCTGGCTCCCCAGCGGAACGCTGCCAGGCTCGATCCGGCCGCTCACACGGCACGCGGCTGGAGCTGCCGGTTGGCGAGTTCGGCCGGAGGCGGTCGGTTGGCGAGTACGGCCGGAGACGGTCGGTTGGCGAGTTCGGCCGGAGACGGTCGGTTGGCGAGTACGGCCGGAGACGGTCGGTTGGCGAGTTCGGCCGGAGACGGTCGGTTGGCGAGTACAGCCGGAGACGGTCGGTTGACAGGTTGGGCCGCAGACAGTCGGTTGGCGAGTACGGCCGGAGATCGTCGGTTGGCGAGGACGGCCGGGGACAGTCGGTTGGCGAGCACGGCCGGAGACGGTCGGTTGGCGAGTTTGGCCGGAGACGGTCGGTTGGCGAGTACGGCCGGAGACGGTCGGTTGGCGAGTACGGCCAGGGACGGTCGGTTGGCGAGTACGGCTGGAGACAGTCGGTTGGCGAGTACGGCTGGAGACGGTCGGTTGGCGAGTACGGCCGGAGACAGTCGGTTGGCGAGTACGGCCAGGGACGGTCGGTTGGCGAGTACGGCCGGAGACGGTCGGTTGGCGAGTACGGCCAGGGACGGTCGGTTGGCGAGTACGGCCAGGGACGGTCGGTTGGCGAGTACGGCCGGAGACGGTCGGTTGGCGAGTACGGCCAGGGACGGTCGGTTGGCGAGTACGGCCGGAGACGGTCGGTTGGCGAGTACGGCCAGGGACGGTCGGTTGGCGAGTACGGCCAGGGACGGTCGGTTGGCGAGTACGGCCGGAGACGGTCGGTTGGCGAGTACGGCCAGGGACGGTCGGTTGGCGAGTACGGCCGGAGACGGTCGTGTCTGGGATAGCGGCCGGGCCCATCCGGTCCAGGCCGCTGTGTGTTAGCTGTCCGAGCGTGAGTGCCACTGAAGCCGTGGCCGAAGTGGCCGCACTCCCGGCCATGATCCGGGTTGCTGCTGCTGGGTACAGGTTGGATGCCCTGTTCATGTTTTGGGCGTGGTTTGAATGAGATTACACATGCCATCATAATCACATCTTTCAAGATAACCGATCTGTCCGCATTTTGATCGATGCCGTCAAAGCTTCCGGAAGTCAGGATTAGAAGTAAATGGGGGAAAAGAGTCACGTGGTACATCTTGGTAAACCGACAGGAACTTTCAGACTGATGCGTATTTCCATGCCGGCGGATAGCATAAACATCCTGGGCGCTGGTTTAGCGCCACGCATAATTGTCAGAGAGGTGATCATTGGAGATTATAAAATTAACTTTAAATACCCGGCATCAAAGCAATCTTTCTTAAGGCCAAATCACAGTCGCAAGGTACTTACATATATGGCGGCTGACGCGCATGACATGCACGCAGGTTAAAACGAGCCATCTTGCATTTGATTTCAAACCACACGATGGATTTCTGTGTGACGGACCTAATAAACATGCAGGTAGTCAAAACCCGAGTATTTAAGACAGGAGAGTCTTCATGCATGGACGCCTGTTGTGAAACGGGGGGGGGGGGGGTAGCTGGCTGTAAGCAAACGCGCCAGTGGATTCAATTGGTTTCGCAACCCCCCATCTCAAGGTCTTCTGATTCGGACCACCCGCGTTCATCCGGCAAACGCACGCTTGGTGCCTTGTCCACCTCGGCCAGCGCCTCTCAGCGCGGGGCGTCGTGACCACCTCGGCCAGCGCCGCTCAGCGCGGGGTGTCGTGACCACCTCAGCCAGCGCCACTCCGCGCGGGGTATCGTGACCATCTCGGCCAGCGCCGCTCAGTGACCAGGTGACGGGAGCAGGTAACCTGAGGTCACCTGCTTCTGAACGGCCAGATTTCGTGTTCTCGCTTTCGATCGGTGTTAATTTGGAGAGAAGCGGTAAAGCGGTCCGAGTTTAGACTTGGCTACACAGATGGCGGCAAAAAAATATTGGCGGGTTGTCCTATCCTTGGCTCAACAGTACACACACAGCACACGCACGCGAGCGATCAGTATGTAGTGCTCGAGATAACAGTTGAGGCCCTGACGATACGCACCGAAATAGTACCTCTAAAAAGTTCCTCCTTTACGACCAGTAAGATTGGTCTGCGATTGTACAAGCGTAAAATGACCCCGTATGAGACGAGTAAAATGCGTGGTGAGGCTTGAACTTTCGCATTTTGAAACACCTAGTAGCGAGAAATATCTCGGTTATCCTGATTATCTAGTAGCCTAAAGAAATAGATCATCCATACGTGCGCACAATTACACGGCTGTCATTGGCTAGCGGACCTCAGCTTGACTTGCGCCGATACACAAAGGACAGAGCATGGAACGAACCTTAACAGGGTGCCATGCAGCTGACAAACTAGATACACTCACCTGCGTACCGCGCACGGACCGGAATAACGTCGAACCAAAGAAGGATACGATGCAACTACCCATCTCAACACGCTCACCTGTACGCCACATGCCATACGCAGACTGGGATACCGCCATACGAGTTTTCCTCATGTCGTGTCTAAACTTATGACCTGTCCTACTGCCAGACGCGGGGCATGCGCTTCGCCAACGGTGAAGACGACCGGGCTCCGATTTATCGGTCAAGCCATGCGTGGCCAGCGCAGAAGGACGCTGAGGAACATGTTTTCTGGATTTACTTGACAAAACAGCGCGATATAGCTGAGACCACCTCCATCACAATCTGAGAGTTGTGTCCGTTAGCACATTCCTTGAAGTACTCCTTTCACATCAGCATCGGATCTCGACCGTACTTCATTCCTATGATGGGTTCTAAAAGTATAAACGGCGGTGTTCACAGATACCTGAGGCGATATAACGTGTATTTAGGTGAGGGCGATTAGCGAAACACTTCAACTCTGTTACCAGACAAGATTACCGAGTGGAGCACTACGTCTGGCTGATTTCCCTCGGTCCATATCAAACAAGCCTCTCACGCGCAGCACACACAGGCAAGCGGCAACAGCAAAGCACGCAGATCCGAGACTGGTTGTGAAAATAAGTTCAACCAATGCCGCGCGAAGCAGTAACAACAGGGGGCGGGGACGGCGGCCTTCTCGGAGAACACAGCTCCGAACCTGACCTGGCCTGACCCGCCGGCCTTAACAACCGACCCCCTCAGCTCGGCAGACTGCAGCACGGCGCGCACTGAGGAACCCCGACAAGCAGCAAGACCAGACGTTTCACCCGTACAGATCGGACGCGCGCCCACGCTCGTCCACCATGTCGCGGCAGCCGCCGCCTCTGCTGGAGACAGCAGGGGTGACAGTACAACAAGAAGACACGCCTAGGCCCTCACCGTGCGGCGGCGACGGCGGCGGACGCGCAAGGCACTCAGGCACTCGTGTAACAGCCGTTTGCGCAGCAGCGGAGGCGCAGGCAGCAGAGGAACTTCAGCGAGACGCCCACCTACCGGCTGGCGTCCAAGCGATGCGAGGCAGCAGCCTTGGGTCCGCGGCGCCGCCAGGCGGCGGCGGACGGCGCGCCGTTCCCGTCAGTGGCGGGCGCGCGGCAGCGTGCCGCCGCGCCCGTTCCGCTTGGCCGGCCCGGCGGACGCCGCGACGCCGCTCCGTCGCCGCAAGATGGGCGTGGTCAGCACATGCAACAGGCTGCGCCGCGGCCTGCCGCCCGTCGGCATACACGGAAAGGAGAGAGAAAGAGACAGCCGTGAACCGACAGGCCAGGCGACGCCGGCGGCGCCAGGCGAGCGTGCGCGCTACTACAGTGCGCCGAGACGACAGGCAGCCGCTGAGACGACCGGCAGCCGCTAAGAGCGACCGGGATCTGTCGAGAGTGACCAACAGCCGCCGAGAGCGACTGGGATCTGTCGAGAGCGACCAACAGCGGCCGAGGGCGACTGGGATCTGTCGAGAGCGACCGGGATGTCGGGAGCGGCTAGCAGCCGCTGAGAGCATCCGACAACCGCGCGACGGACGGCGTCGCGCCGAGAGCGTCGCCGCCAACAGAACCGAGACACACACGACCCACCACCGGCCTTCGGCAGTCAGCAGCCACCGCCACCCAGGCGGCAAGCCAAGCACTCCACCCAAGCCACACACTCACCCACAGACGACCCATGCCTCGCCGGAGGATCACACAACACGCCGAAACCAGCCAGGACAGACCGTTACCGACTAGCACAGCCTAGGCGCTTGTGACGGAGAGCACTAGGGCGGCGGCCGACCATCGCCGCATGGCCGGCGCGCCGCCACTGGGAGGGAGAAAGCGTCGCTCCAGAGACAGCGGCGGCCCGGCACACGGCAAACGGAGCGTCCTCGGCTCAGCAGCCCGCCCCGCGCCAGCAGGCCACCCGGAGACGCAGCGACCGACGGCCACCTACGAGTCGAAGTGCTCTTCCGGCTCCAGGTCGAACCACTGGGTGGAGCCGGCCACCAGGTCCAGATCGCTCAGGTCGATGTGTTTCTGCCGGGAGCAGGACGGGTCACCGGTCGGCCGGCCGCCGCCCGGCCAGATGTGTGCGCGCTCGGCGCCACAGCCCCCTCCCTCCTCCTCCCCATCGGGCCGGCGCGTCCACCTCCAATATACGCCGGCCACCTAGTTTCTGTGATCTAACCTGCGTCGCACGACGGCGTCAGCCGCAACACAAGTGGATTTCGCGAAGAACTTTCATCGCCGCACACGACCGTCTACATCAGCATGCATCCGGTCAGCAATGCCACCACAACTTTTTCTAGCGTTACATACAATGGCAAAGGCAATAATACCGCTTCCAGCCTTCAAACAAAACAGCATAGAACCGTCGCAAGACCGAGCCCGACAGAGATGCGGACCACCAGATCTAAGCATCCAACAACGCTGCTCGGCCGATGCTCTACTCGGGATTCCACCTGCAGCGTGGATAACAGGACAATCAAACTAGCTTAAAGATGTTGCACCTTACATGTAAATGCCCACTGCGTGACCCAATGCACAGCCCCGACCCGTGTTCAAGCACCGTAGCCGTCGGGCGCCCGCTTACCATGCCAAGGATGGGGTTGCGAGCGAAGGTCTTCTTACTGACCACCTGAACCTCCAATGTGCGCACCCGGATCTCATTCAGCTGGCCGCGATACTCCAGCGCCTCGTCGTACACCGGGTCGCGGTTGTCTTTGAAGCTCTGTAGCAGCACGTGGGGCACTCAGGCGTCGCCACCGCACTATCCAGCTCGGGCAGCTGTACTATTAGCCGTCACTGGCAACTCGCAAGAAGTGGACCCCAACGCATTCGAAAGTTACCACTCGGGATAAATGAAGGGTCAAACTCGACAAAAGGCACGATTGTCAGATTGAATGGTCCACACTGACAAAGCAGCGCTTTGAAGTGGGCCTCCAGCAATCATGCTTCCGACATGATCATTGCGAACACGTTCTGATCAGTGGCCCAAATCGCCAGCAGCAGACAGCCCTGCCCGAAGCCGGCCCTCCGGACTCGTGACCGGTACAGGGACGCTGAGCCGGCCCTCCGGACTCGTGACCGGTACAGGGACGCTGGGCCGACCCTCCGGACTCGTGACCGGTACAGGGACGCTGAGCCGGTCCTCCGGACTCGTGATTGGTACGGGGACGCTGAGCCGGCCCTCCGGACTCGTGACCGGTACAGGGTCACTGAGTACAGAGTCCGGCAGACCGACCCGTCCCAGCCTGCAGCCGACGGCAGGCGGCGGCCGGCGCAGCCCTGGCGTCGCGTCCCACCGGCAACCGGCTCACCTGTGTTTTACGCTTGTTGTCCTCGGAGCGGTCAGGTAGCAGGTACGTCTTGACGTACGGATCGGGAATGTCGTCTCCCTGCATGGGCAGGCTCCTGCGGACCACCCACGGTGACATCATGGGACGAGCGTGAGTCACATCCCTAACACTTGGTGCACTCTGCTGTCACATGAGCCCAGGTCCGCTCCGCGGTCTCCTGATCGAGACCAGGTGACGCCCAGCGTGCTGATGCGCACCGGGCCCGCAGAGGTGACTCGACTGCGCCCCTCTCGGCGGCGAGGCGCCCGGCCCGAGCTAGTCCAGGACGGCGGCGGCAGCCACTCACGATATTTTGTGGACGACGACCACCAGCGCCGAGCGGGTGTCACTGAAGCGCAGCGTCAGCTGGATACGGCCCAGACGGTGGGCGCCGGCCGGGCTGCCCACAAACCCTCTGTCAGCGCGTCACCACACACGGTGGTCCTCCAGACACACGACACGGCAGTCCTCCAGATACACCGTGCGGTGGTCCGCCAAACACACGGCACGGTGATCCGCCAGGCACACGGCACGGTGGTCCGCAAGACACACGGCACGGTGGTCAGCCACACACGCGGCAAGGTGGCCCGCCAGACACGCAGCATGAAAAGGCACTTTTCGCCCAACCGATTAATTTTTTTTAACCCATCACGTGATGCCAAACCGATCCATCATAAACACCACCGAATACTTGCACGAGCCACACATATGCTACGTTTCGCTGGCAACCGAAGCACGGAATAGGCTGTGTTTGACGGCAGTCCCTTACTTCTCTGGCTTGCGCTGTCGGAGTCCGGACTCTGCCTGCGCCGTGTCCGCTGACAGGTCCTGGATGAGCGTCTCGACGGCCTCCCGTGTCTGCCGGTGGGGGCAGCACGGTCTGTACAGTGCGTGGCAGACGTAGCGGCCGCCCACTACAAATACCGCCCGGCCGTCTGAAGACGCCAGACTATTGCTCATTGACTGCTCGCAGTCACTGAGGTACACAGGACACATGGGAAAGCCACAGCTACTGATGCAGCCTCCAGTGCGATTGCATTCGTAGCTGAGGGTGAAACTAAGTCAAGCTCCACTGGCGGTACAGTTTTCCCGCCTGTTGCACACTTCGGCAGGGCTGTGAGCTGACACGCCGCGCCTCTCAGCGTAGCACGGCATTACAAGGGCTGGCGCATCCCACTTGCAGCGAGTCAGGAGGCGTCGGCATTGGTCGCCATGCAGCCAGTCCTTCCCTACAGGCACAGCTCGCTCCCGCCGTCACGCTGGGTCGACGGTGCACCGTCCTGCACCACCGGCGCGGCGCACAAACCGGGCTCACCTGCGCCGGCACCGGCTCCGGCCTCGACTCCTTGTGGGCGGCGGGCGCTGGCCGGACCGGGCTGGGCGGACGCACCGGCTCGTCCGCCTTGGGCTGCGGTGGAGATGCCGGCGGCGGAGAGGGCGGCGGCGGGGAGGCCGGCGGCGGGGAGGCCGGCGGCGGGGAGGCCGGCTGAGTTGGCGGCGTCGCAGCCGGCTTCTCCCCTGGTGCCGCCGGCGGGCTCGGCTCAGTCGTGGCCTCCGCTGTGGGTGGCGCGACGGCCGGTCAGCTAGGTCGCCGGGAGCGCGGCGGGGGAGCAGGAGGGGGAGCAGCCGTCGGCGCGGCGTCCCAGTTCACACCGCCGACCGACCAGCACCGGTGCCAGCGGAGCTCTGGCCGGCAGGGCTCGGATGGTACACACCAGGACAACAGACAGGGACGGACGGCAGGTGGTGACGACGGCTGGCGTGTCCCCGTGCGCCGACGCCGGCGGTCAGTTCGAGCCGGCCTCGGGAGGACGGGAGGCGCGGCACACCGACCGGGTACTCACGGCTCGGTTCGGCGGCGAGGGCCACGCGCAACCTCGACGGCGGGCGGGGCGGAAGGCGGCGGCACGCGGACCGGGTACTCACGGCTCGGTTCGGCGGCGAGGGCCACGCGCAACCTCGACGGCGGGCGGGACGGAAGGCGGCGGCCAGGTCAGGACAGGGTGCACGGGCGGTCGGTGTGTCGAGGTCGGAGGTGGACTACGGTGCTAGTTCTTCTTTCGTCGCCTCACATCTGACCGTCACAGCGAGCGCAATGACTCATGGAGCGCAGACATCCGCGCATGCGGTCACAGGTACACCAGGCGCGCGCGAGACACCGACACCTCGGCTCACGCTGGCGTCTCAGCACTGAATTAAGCGTCAACGTCACACACTTGTCCTCCTGCGGGCCAATTACCGCCACTGCGCCCAGCCGCCGTGGCCTGGCTTCAGCACGCACCACTTCCGCGTGAAGCCAGAGACTGGCGGGCTGGCGGTGCGGCCCCGAGAGCCGCAGCAGTAGCCGCGGCCCGCCCCGGCCGGCGCCGCGCTGCCAGGCGGCACCGACGCGCGCCCCGCCCGGTCGGAGGCGGCAGCGGCCGCAGCACTCACTCGGCTTTGAGGGCTGTCGGGGCGGCTCGGGCGCCACCGGCCGCTGCGGCATGGCAGAAGGAATGCGGGCCTCGTCGTCCTGGGCCGCCACCTTGTCGTGCGTCAGAACCTGATGCGGACGCGCACTGTGAGCGGCACGGGTCGGCGCCGCCGTCCACACTCACAGCAAGGACCATCAAGGGCGCCGGCGAGGCTGTCACAAGCCTAATCTCGATGCAATTGCGCACAATGTGTGGGAAAGCCGAAAAAGCAGCCGCACTTACAAAATGGCGCTGATACCAAACAACGGAAAAGGGAAGGCACAGGTGTGGCAACGGTGAAATGGCCGGGACAGGGAATCAGCCACGTAAAGACAGGGCTGTGAGGCCCGGCCGGTGTTCGGACTCCTTACCGTGGCCGGGACAGGGAAGCAGCCACGTAAAGACAGGGCTGTGAGGCCCGGCCGGTGCTCGGACTCCTTACCGTGGCCGGGACAGGGAAGCAGCCACGTAAAGACAGGGCTGTGAGGCCCGGCCGGTGCCCGGACTCCTTACCGTGGCCGGGACAGGGAAGCAGCCACGTAAAGACAGGGCTGTGAGGCCCGGCCGGTGCTCGGTGCTCCCTACCGTGGCCGGGACAGGGAAGCAGCCACGTAAAGACAGGGCTGTGAGGCCCGGCCGGTGCCCGGACTCCTTACCGTGGCCGGGACAGGGAAGCAGCCACGTAAAGACAGGGCTGTGAGGCCCGGCCGGTGCTCGGACTCCTTACCGTGGCCGGGACAGGGAAGCAGCCACGTAAAGACAGGGCTGTGAGGCCCGGCCGGTGCTCGGACTCCTTACCGTGGCCGGGACAGGGAAGCAGCCACGTAAAGACAGGGCTGTGAGGCCCGGCCGGTGCTCGGTGCTCCCCACCGAGGCCAGCCTCACTCACCCGCAGCTGAATGGAGAGCACGACCATGGAGTGCCGGCCCGACTCGTGCAGCTTGTAGGGGTGCTCGCTGACCTCCAGCTCCGGCTGGCGGAGCAGGTCCTTAACCTCCAGCTGCAGCATGCCCAGCGACTTGCCCGAGCTCTGGTCCTCCACCTGGCGATGGCAAGAGCCGGAATACACGTCGGGATGATCGCTACAGCTCTGCCGCCAGGCTTCGCCGGCCGCCGGCGACACAAGCGCCCGCTCTGATCAAGGCCCACGGGACGCCCCAACACGCTTAAACGCCACGGTACGAGCATGGACGTTATCACCGAGCATTACTGTCCTTGAATGAGTGTAACGGCTCACTCTCACATCAAAATTTGATGTGATTTGATGTGATAGCAAGGATTCTTCCTACCTATGCTTTTCATTTAATAAAAAAGCCCAAGAAGGAAGGATCCTTTCCGCGCCAGCCAGCGGTGGTGGGCGTTTGACAGGCGCTCGCTCTGGTTGCCGGACATAGTGCCCACCTCCAGCGTCATGGTCTGCGTCAGCGGGTTCTTGACGAGGAAGCTGAAGCCCTCCTCCCAGACAGGGTCCAGGGTGCGGTACTTGCACGAAGTCACCTCCTTCTGGTTGCCCACCGCCAGCCGCACCAGCGGATTGGGCTCCACCGTCCGCGACGCCATCTGCCGGCGACAGCCGACCTTATGTAGAGCGACACGGCGCCAGTCCAATCATCTGGTTAATAAAAACTCATGGTAGTGTATAATAAAAGATAGTCCCTAGCGAAGCACTTTAATGAATGATTTAATTCCCTGCACAACACTGCTTGAAATTTAAAAAACCGGACTGACAACGGATAAGCGTGCTGATAAAAACAAACCACCGACCGACGTAACGACCGACGTAACAGACAAAAATAAAATGGAAGAACAGCATGCACACAAAAAGCAAAAACAAAAATACAGTAGCCGAAAATGAGATTCACTTTTCATTCCATGTGGTGAGACGTTACGTAACATTTTGAACGGTATTTACACGGTCAGGCTTAACAGAGGCGAGTGGCGAGCACCGCGGGACGCTATCATACGGGTCACGTCACGGCCGTTACCGGAAGCTGTTTTGCCGAGTCGACGAACACGGTCAGCACGGCCGAGTGCAGGCCCGAGTGGTCGAACGCCGACAGGTCCTCGATTTCATTCAGTTGCTGAAACAGTGGCCGGCGTGTCGCGTCACGCCACCGGTCGAGCAGGGTGGGGTTCAGGCGGAGTCAAGGTCAGCGCTGCAGACTCGCCATCCCCTGCAGCACACCGCGCCGGGCACGACAAAGGCGCGTGCCTAATAAAAAAGCAAGACACAACATTGAAGAAAATACAGACGATATGAAACATGCCGCCACCAGCCAACTGGGCACACTCCCAGCTCCGGCTGAACTGAGATCGGCCGTGACCGAGAGCGCCGCATCTGCCGCCCGCTGGCCGGCATATGCCGCCACCAGCCAACTGGACACACTCCCAGCTCCGGCCGAACTGAGACCGGCCGTGACCGAGAGCGCCGCGTCTGCCGTCCGCTGGCCGGCGCCATCACCTTCTTGATGTCGGCCGCGTTAGTGGAGAGACCCAGCCAGTCCAGCTTCATGTGGATCCGGCCGGTGCGCGCCTGCTCCAGCGGCACCCACTGAAATAACGGCCAACGTCTCCTCAGCCTAAAAAAATGGCCATCTGAGCATGAGCACTGACGCCGCGATGGCAGCTGTCGCATGGCGTGACCGACGACGAGCGGTGCACCGGCAGCGACTGAACGAGACTGAACGAGACATCCATCCCAGAGTCGCACGTTTCACCACGCGGCCGGGGCTAACAGCATTCAACCGCCCGGCTGGCAGGCTGCGGCCCGGTCCGCGGAGCCCGGCGCACTCACCACGTCCTGCGATCCGGCCTTGGCGATGTCGGCCACGTCCAGACCGCACCTGGCGGCGCCGACAGCCCCACGTTACACGCGCGCGGCAGCCGGACGGACGGGACAGCACCGCAACTCCGATTCGACAACGTTGCGCAAGGAGCCCGGGAACGTTTGAAGTGTACAGCAAAATGATGTGCTCAGGCAACGGCGAAAACGGCGCTATATTCATTGTCATGTCTTAACAGTTAATGCTCAGCATCCACCGTTCGGCATGTTCCTGGACGGAAAACGAAGCATAACATCGCTAAGAGGTTTTAGGACAGCGAGATATCAAGCACGCTGGCTTTACAACTGCAACAAAAATCGACCTCATGGAAACACAGCAGAAATCAACTTGTTAGCGCGCATGCAGTGAAGATGAGGTGCGACTCAGTTTAGTGTGCATGCATGTTTAGAGCGGCAGTGAGCTAAGCATACCCGCGGCGGCTGCACGGGTCACCAGCGTCATACTCCAGCGGATCACAAGGGAAGCTCCGACAGAGACCAGCGTTAACGCGTGGACCAGGTCCAGAGGGATAGCAGCCGATGCGCTGATGATTGGCTCTGGACGGGTCCAGGAGGGGTGGCAACCGACACGCCGGTTGGCTATGGGCGGGTCCAGGAGCGTATCAGCCGAGGCGCTGGTTGGCTATGGGTGGGTCGAGGAGCGGCAGCAGCCGAGGCGCTGGTTGGCTATGGGTGGGTCCAGGAGCGGCAGCAGCCGGGGCACTGGCTGGCTATGGGCGGGTCCAGGAGCGGCAGCAGCCGAGGCGCTGGTTGGCTATGGGTGGGTCCAGGAGCGGCAGCAGCCGAGGCGCTGGTTGGCTATGGGTGGGTCCAGGAGCGGCAGCAGCCGGGGGCACTGGCTGGCTATGGGCGGGTCCAGGAGCGGCAGCAGCCGAGGCGCTGGTTGGCTATGGGTGGGTCCAGGAGCGGCAGCAGCCGGGACACTGGCTGGCTATGGGCGGGTCCAGGAGCGGCAGAAGCCGAGGCGCTGGTTGGCTATGGGCGGGGTCCAGGGGCGGCGGCAGCCGGGGCGGCGTACCGTCCGAGCAGCTCGTCAGTCCGCCCACGGTCGTAGTCGTACAGTATCATCTCTAAGCGGTAATGAGCCTCGCACATGCCCTGGGAGGAGGAAAGGATCAGGGGTCGAGGTCATGGGACGGGGAAAGGTCGATGTCTTCCAGGAAAAGGGATCAGAGTGCAAGGGTGAGGTGCCAGGACAACGACTGGAACGCACACGGCGCACAATGTAATGCACAAACGTAGATAGCTAAATCCCGTCAACAAATAATGAGAAATTCAACACACCAAATCGCGAAGGACGCTTTCAAGCCCAACAAAATCTCTGGGCACCACAGAAACCATAGCGAACGCCGACTTCGAGCATCAAAACGTCAAACGCAAAGCCAAACAAACTCCTGTCAAACAAGTCCACAAAACATCGAACACCACCAGTTTCAGCTGATGCAAAAACAAAAGCAAAATAACCAGACGCACGACAGGGCGCCACCATCTGCCAGTGAGCAGCAAAGAGCAGCTCGCCCGACCAGCCGTCGCGTGGGCGGCCGGGACGGCCCGGCGGGGACGGGGCGGGGCGCCGGGGCGGCCGACCCGGGTCAGGGGGGCCACCGCCCGGCCAGGCCTGATCCAGCGCCGACCTCGTAATGGTAGAAGCTCCGTGCACGGTGTGCCGAGCTCGTGGTGCCCCTGTCTGCCGAGCCCACTCCCCACACCCCACCGCCGGCCGGCCGAGCCCGCTCCGCACACCCATCGCCGGCCGGCCGACCCCGCTTTGTACACGCACGGCCGGTCGACCGACCCCGCTTTTTACACGCACGGCCGGTCGACCGACCTTGCCCCTAGGTCCAGCCGGTGCACCCCGTGCCGTCCCCGAGCGAGGCCGCCGGCACCCGCTGCCGCGCCGGCCGCCGCGCATGCGCCGGGCGGCCGGCGCCGGCCCGCCGCCTGACCTGCCCAGGAAATCGTCCTTGGCCAGACTGCTGGCGTCCCAGTCCCAAAGATCGAGCCGCAGCTGGATGCCATCGAACTCGAGCAAGTGCGTCTGTCAGGCAAGACTGCAGCGTCAGACCAGATACGGTCGCCGCCACTGTCGGCTAGGCGGCACGACGAAACAGTGCAGCGGCTGAGCGGGCCCCACACCTGCTGCTGCGGACAGGACGGAGTCACGGCGGCCGAGCGCGCGCCGCTCCAGTTCGTCGACACTGCACCAGGAGACCGGTGACGCACGGAACCCAGCGGCGACGGGTCAGCCACCCACACCCACACGCAGCACAGCCACAAGCAAACGCACACGACGCTGGCCCACATACGGTCAACCCGCCGCGCGCCAAACCGCTGCCTGCTTCGAAGCGCGAACATGTAACGGATGAAAATATAAAGATCATGATCAGGACCCGCCTCGCGCACGCACACGCGCACGTGCACGCACACGAGTCACGGCCCAGTGGATATTTGTTATGTACACCGCACACATGTATGACTGAAGCGAAACCGGAGAACAGTTCATTGAGCCCAGAGGGTCCGACACGCAACGATTGAGGGCCACCCAACGACAATCCCAGTGTCACCTGAGATGTCCCCACGCTAGGCAAAAAGCCATCGATCAGACATAGTTGCGGGCACCAACGAAGCCGTCCTCAGATAAGATGGACGGCGTGCCGTAGGCTGCCGGCCAGCTTGTGATACCGCACCATCTACGAACGTGAGCACGCATCGAGAGCTCACGTTTGGAGCGCATGCAGCACGACAGCCTTTCAATATAGGCATCGCAGAACGTAAGCAGCTTAGAGCGACGATGATGGGACCCAAACTTAAGCATGCCACCCCAAACCACGCAGGCAGCCATGGGGATCCTCCCCCTCCCTCCCGTCGAGCCAAGCGGTGTACACTAGATGTTGGGAGATTGCGTAGGCATATGGTTCATTTTCGCGTGAGTTCGGGCACAATTTGATATTTTCTCGCGCGCTCTACGTGCCTGTTGCAATGCCACCAACTATGGATAGTTCATGCCAGTAGAGAAACACCAGCAGCAGTGCGCGAGGACACCGAGTAATCTCAATATCATGTCGGCCAGGTCATCCGGGGTAAACCGCCTACGCCCACAACTTAAATAAAGTTGTTTGATTGATTCCGCCGTATATCGCCCAACAATACTCGCAACTCTCATCCACTGCAGCCCAATGCTGACTCGTTCCACCTCTGAGAAGACGAGGACTGTGACTGCTTGAGTCATCAACCGGTGGTGATAAAAACGGCCGTGGCTCCTGTCGACTTACGATCCCAAATCAAATCTCCGTTCAGGAGGCTCCCGTCGGCAAATGCTAAAGCAATACAAAGCAAATTACGTCGACACGCCCCAAAGTCGGCAACAAAACATCGGAACCCAGCGACATCATGCCACGCCATTGCATTCTCACCAGCCAATCGTCGTCACAGGCAGACACGGCGAAGCGCAGCACAGTTACACTCTCTCCCAGATGCACGTCACGGTTTCCCGAAACAAAACATTCCACGTCGAGCTGAACAGGCACACCCGGTCGCCCCGTACGTCCGACAGAGGCGGAACCCGGACCAGCCAGGCCGGAGCCACGCGACGAGAGACCAGACCCGCCTGGCGGCTGGGCCGCGTTACCTGCCCACGCATCATCATCAGCCGGGCCACGGTCGTAGTCGGACAGTGTCAGCTCCAGCCGCGTGCCCGTCGGGTGCTCCAGCACGGTCTGGGTGCGCGGTAGAGCGCTCAGGCGGGGCGGGGCAGAGTGGGCGGGACAGGGCAGGGCAAGGCAGGGCAGGGCAGGGCGGGGCGGGGCTGGGCGGGGCTGGGCGGGGGGGGGCGCGGGCGGGGCGGGGCGGGGCGGGGCGGGGCGGGGCGGGGGCGGGGCGGGGCGGGTGCGGGGCGGGGCGGGGCGGGGCGGGACAGGCGCAGCCCGCCATTGGCAGCGAGGTAGTGTCAGTAGGCCGCCGCGGCCGTGGCGGCCTACTGACCGCCACGGCCTACCGGCTCCGGCTTTATACCTCAGCCTGGCCTACCGGCCTACGGCCGTCGCAGCCAGGCTGAGGCTAGCTGGTGTTATTGGGCGGAATTTGGACCGCAGCAGGTGGAGCGTCCGCCTGATCACCGATTAGCCGCAGAGGGGGGCAAATCGAGAGCCGAGAGAGACAGATCGAGAGAAGACTGCAGAAGCTCCGGGGCAGAGCGTGAGAGACAAAGGCAGAGGGCGGGAGGGGGTGAGCCGCGCCGCGCCGTCATCCGCGGCGCAGTGGGGTCACGTTCGTGCACCAGCTGCTGATGGCCGCGCTCACCTGCCCAGGTTATCATCTTTGTTGCCCGGGTCGTCCGAGTCGCACAGCTCCACCCAGAGGCGCGGGCCCACCGACTCGATCAAGTCAAACTTGGGCCGAGCAGAGCGCGTTAAAGAGAGTGGGAGGCGCGGACGCGTGTACCGGTGCACGCTGTCACACACGCCGTCACAGGAGACGTGACGCCGACACACAGACCGTCTCACACACAGCGGGCGCCAGGCTGACACTGATCGCACATCATCGCACCGCCGCCAACAGCCGGCTGAGGAGGGCGGGCGGGGGGCCAGGCGCCCTCGCACCTGGCGAGTCGTGATCAGCTGACAGGGTACAGCGAGGCGAATGGGAGGCCACACGGAATAAAGGTGACCGCAGTCATGTTGCGCACACTTAACTCCCGGTAAGTTTCACAATATCGCCAACGTTTCCGCACGTCCAAAACGTCACCAGTCTTGCTGCATGCCTCTTAACCAACTTCCTGTGTTGACCGGCATCAGCCATACGCTTTACAAGCAGGCGCTGGTACTTCAGCAGCGTCAAGCGGCAGAATCGCCGCCGCACCTGTGCCGGCCGCCATTGGCGCTGATCATTTCAATGCCAAAAGGCTGCTGGATCAATTGCCTCAGTATTAAAATACGCGTCCCTCTCAACTTCATCTAAAAATCTAGACGTGTATTATGAATTGCCTGTAAGATCCGTGAAAAAGAACGTCTATGACCCCACCACTTCTATCTCTTCCTAATGTTGATATGTTGGGACGCCTCGCATGGATCTAATCTTTCTGTTGGCACCAACGCTCAGTTGGGACAGAAACGGAAAATCACGCTCCCCATGAAACTGCCGCCGAAAACAGTGGTCTAGGATTCCGTTCAGAGTTTGGGGTGCGTAAGCTGGTTTGGTCTTTCCATGCAATTCCCTGGGAAAATGCCGGCCTCGCCCCATCCTTTCCGCCGGACGCACGTCTGAAAAGAAGCGTCATACCCAGCAAAACAGAAAACCAGTGAACACAGCACTACTGGGCCCCTCCGTGTGCAACCCTGCCCAGCGCCTGAATCCGCATACTGCGGTTTTTCCGTCTCCCGCCCCCGCCCCCTTCGCCTGCCCACCGCCGGCCGAGCCCCAGACCGGCCCGGCGCCCATCGCCGGCCGTCTGGCAACTAACAGCCGTGACGACAGCGGAGCGTGGGCGGCGGTCCCCCGCCGGCGCGGAAGGGACGGCTGCGGCAGCGGCAGCGGCCCGGCCAGACTCAGCGGAGCCAGCTCACCTCACACACGTAGTTCCAGACGGGGTCAACAGTGTCCTGGATGTACTTGGTTTTGAACTGCTTGGCGCCGATGTAGATGATGGCGTACGGGTCCGACTTGCCCTGGCCGAAGATGTTGCGGTCCTTCTTCATCAGGTCACGGCCCTCGATCAGGCGCAGGCGCAGCACGCCCTGGGGTCAAGGCCACGGTGCCGGTCACCACCACGGCGGTCGCGGTCGTTGTCAAGGCAGCCGCGGTGAGCGGCGTCGCAGGCACAAGTTCAAGGCTGCGGCCACGAGCCCCAGACGGCGGACGCGCACCACCTCAAGGGCAAAGCCGCAGGCGGCGCTGCCGCCTCAACACCCCATAACGTAAAAAGTGAATGAAGCGGAATGACTCAGGAAATATTATTATCAGCGTTAAATGCACCTTTACTTAAGACACCGTTGCTTAAAATGTTGACGTAACCATTTGCGTCATACTTCGGTGATGATCACGTCGAAGTCAATCACACACTGGGTTTATTCTCACAACTATAAAGCCGGTTATCTGTATCCATACAGCGTACTACGCGCTGTGTTTCCACCAAGGGTTCGTCTCGATGAGAAAGACCGCCGAGCGGCCAATACGCCGAGCTCTAGTATTTGTATACAAGAACGTCATATGTTTACCGATCTATTAGTCCACAGACTAGGATATCGAAAGGTCTATGACTAGTCGTATATCGCAATATTGATACTGATAAAGATATAGTCGTGTACTGGCAAGCGCAACCGAGCGTCTGGTCCTTCCAGCACCGACAGCTACGCATTGCCTGTGCAGTGCCCACATGTCCCAGCAATCTCTGGCGCTCTGCCATGTGTGACTCACCAGTCCGACACACGCGGCCAGAGAGGCCTTGTCGCCGCCGCCGCGTGTGGCGGCGGCAGCGCACGGCCGGGGCCAGGACCCACGCCGAGACCAGTGGGGCAGCGGAGGGCACGTCCAGCGGCCGCCGACTCGCCACGGACCTCCAACGCCGGGTGGCCTGTTTCACTAGCCAGAGATAGCCGGCTCCGTATCGCTGACCTCGGTGTTATGGTGATGATGTGGGATTTGACACCATAGGTCATTTTGCGCCCATGGCGGCTGTTTACGGCTGTTTTGTTTTAATTAGCACGAAGCAAGTACAGCTAAAAACTTGACGCCTCCCAGGAAAAAAACAACTGGTTTGAGGTAACACTGTGAGTCGTGTCCTAGCATATCGCAATGAGTCAAACATGACATACATGGCTTGCCACCTAAAAGGACGCCGGCGCTCTTCCCTGAAAAGTGAACAGGAGTAAAGCAGATGATTAACTGTCCACAGTGCATCGCAATTAGGGCATTGAGGCCTCCCGCCACCAAACAACAGGTACCCATGTGTCGCGTACGTATAGACAATTTGCAGACGGCACGGGGGACCTCTTCACACCTGGCGCTCGCCAGCCAGACGGCCCTAGAAGGCCCAACAGTGGCTGTATCACCCTTAGCTTGTCGCTCCTTTCGTTGTCCCACCAGCGTTGCCATTTCTTCTTACAAGCTGTGATGGCTGGGTAGAAGTTCCCAGCTGGGAGCGGAAGAGAACACGTGCGAGGCGCATGAGTGGCCCGCTTTGCGGGCAGCGAAGGTAAGATCGTTGCCCGCTATCCTTACATGGCTTGGAATCCAGCATCGCGCTACGGTTTTGCCCATGCCCATCAACCATGTCAAGTGGGTCAAAGTGTCCTAAAAAGGGACACTGAGGGTAAAATGTCTTGAGCGTCATGAGGCTGTTGAGGGGGTCAGGCCAGATCAAGTGTCGGTCGTCATTAGCGACTTCAATATGGCAGTGTTTTAATGATGGCAACAACCTCTGTAGTATACAAAGAGGCGTGTTCTGGCAGCGAGAATGAACGAGCGGCAAGGCCAAACACGAACGCCGAGCCAACACCTGATGCGGCTTTGGACCGTCTGCAAAGGTCGCTACACATTGATGTGACGAGATAAGCTCCAATCCCCTAACCCTAGTGTCACACGTAATGGGTTCTCGTTTTTAACCTACGCTAATGAAACCGCACTTGGTGCACATATTTCCCAAGGGGTGTTATCAAGTGACCAGATCTGAGCACTCCCTTCCATCTGAGCCCATTCTCTCCGAATAGCTCTTCGACCTGAAAGCAAATGCCACAACACGTGTTCTCCGTTCTTTCTAACAGGTCGCGTCACACGTCGTGAAAAGACTGTCGGGTGGTGAGGTGTTTTGGGAGCTGCGCCAACTTGCAAGCATACCTCACCTCAAGCATTTCCCTCCGAAATGAGAGCGGGGTTCACTTGCCTCTACCAGTAGGCTTGCAACTGAACACGTTCTGAACGCACCGGTTGCCTTGCGCAGTGCTGTGTGCCATGTGAGGTTTAGTTTGAAGGAGGTGGGCGCACGGTTATGTATATCACATCCGTAGTTAACTTTAGATCTGATCAGTGAGCGGTACAACAATTAAAATGTTTTCCGATCTGTTCCGTAAGAGCTTGTGCCACGCATTTCAATGTGTTCAGTGTCTTAAAACACCCGTGATGCAGAATGATGGGATGTTCCTTGCAGGTCAAATGCTTATCAAAATGTGACCCCAGAAACCGTGTCACCGCATTGCAAGGGATCGGCTGTCCATAAAGCTTAAGCGCCATGTCGGGCAATGACGCCGGCGTCGACAAAAGTGGATGGAAATGATCTTCGAGTCGAAAACCGTAAACCGTTAAGCATGCTCCACGTATCTAAGCCAGTCACAGCCAACTGTAACTGGCGCGGCATGGACGCTGCCATGGCGGAGTTGCAACCGGATGGCGAGACCATCAACGAAAAGCGAGTGACCAATCGCCTGGGGTAGGCTGCCCCGACATCATTCATTATGACGAAACACCGCAATACTTAACACACTGCCCTGGGGCACGCCGTTCCTTTGGGTGTATCTGTTCGAGTGCATGGACCAACACAGACTCTGAAGTAGCGGTCAGCAAGAAAGTTCGCAACAAAGGTACCCGTATCTCCGCGTATACCATGCTGGAACAGCTTCCGTAGATGCCATATCGCCAGGTTGTGTCATAAACCTCTTTGATGTAAGTAATCCACACAGTAGAGCCCAAGCCTAAAAGATGAGCAACCGTGTTACGGTTTTTCCTGAAACCACAATGGGCGTTTGTAAGCACATCGTTTCTTTCAACAACAAAAAGTTACTTGTGCCCGAACCATCCGCTCTAGAGGCTTGCACATGGAGGAGGTAAGCGCCGCTGGACGGCGGCCCCACGG